GGCGAAGGCTTTACTTTCATTTCTATCAAGCTCTCTCGTGCAAGAGTGAAAACTCTATTTTTCATTTCCTCCCGCTTCAAGCGCCTCGTTCATATGTTGGTATTAAAAGCTCATTGTCTACACAGGTTGAAGGAGATGGTTCTTTTGGCAATCTCACTCTGAACGGTGTCAAGTACGAGTTGGTGAAGTTTCATTTCCACTCGCCAAGTGAGCACACCATCGATGGCGTCAGGTATACAGACTTCAGTTGCTACACGTCTCGAATTCTTATTTCTATCAATCATCCCAGAATCAATTTCTTTTGGTCGACGTGAGTCCAGAATGGTTCCATCTGATTCTGATAGAACTTCATACGTCTGGCAGCTTTGACCTCGAAATGCATCTATTTCACAAAAGCGCAGATGGCAAGTTCGCTGTCATTGCCATATTCTTCAATGAAAGTCATGACGACGATGCTGAGAGTCCTTTCCTTAAGCAGGTAGCTATTACATGTCTGTCTGCTATTTATTCTAAAACGTCTGGTAAATTTTCATCTCGAAGGGATGTTCAATGAGTCACTTGGCATGTGCAAAGTATCAAAGAACCTTAAAGGGTGGTTGGACCTGCCAAGGGGCAGGTCCAACCGCTAAAAATGGCATTTGCTTACAATTTTCAGGTCATTGAGACTCTATGTCTGACATCTCTGGCTGATGTTGCAGGTGTTTTCTTGGTTGCCGAACATCACACAACCTGATACAAATGTCACCACCATGGCACCCATCACACTCGAATCACTGCCTCTTCAGGGGTCGTATGCTCAGTATTCTGGATCTCTCACCACACCACCTTGCACCGAGGGTGTCTCTTGGGTCGTCATGCTTAACGAGGTTTGTACATCATGATGATCGTGTGCACGTTATCGATTCTCAAAATCTGTGTACTTGGGAGTCGTAGTTAACAATTTAATCGATCTAAGACCCCTCCGTACGTTGAAGCCATGAACTATATGATACTCTGTCCTGTCCTGTCCTGGGCCATTCTTTCTTGTGGACGTTTCCGTGCATGGAACTTTTCCTGCACAGAATCGTCGAGTGTTAGCTGGCCTATTATTCTCCAACTTTTTCCTTAGTAAGAACGTAGAAACTGGAAAGCTGTTTATACAAGTCCCTGCATATTGACACGTGGACTCAAAGCTATCTTCCTATAATATTGCATAGATGTATCTGTTCTAGTGTAACAAGTAGCCTTGTTGTATTTGGAGTCTGTGTGTCAAACTCACAAGAATGTTGGTATCATATGCAGACACAGAAAATGTCTTGTCCGCAGTTCGGCGCATACCAAAAGGTTTTCCCGGTAAGGACTCAACCAGAGACTTGTATTGATTTATAAATGGAACGCTTAGGAGTTGGACTTGCCCAACAGATGCAGTGTCAAGTTAATCCAGTTGTTATCAGTTGCAGAGGATATGTAGTTGTGTGCATGTGTATGTGTTGAAAGAGTGGTGGTCAGTAATCTGTATCTAAGAGACTGGCACTTTCTTCTTTGCAGGAAGCGAACAACAGGCCCGTTCAGAATACAAGGTGCCGGAGTGTCACTCGTTTCGAGCACGCTTAATTAGACAATAATCAAAAGTAGTAGGCAGAATATTTCTCTGCCATTTGTACACTAGAAAATGCTCGCATTGTTAAAAACCGTAGAAGGTTTGGCTTACCTTGAGCTTGTCTTCTGAAGAGTAACAATGTGAGCTTCTTTTGATATGCCATCATGATCGCTGTCCTGTGGGAGTGAGCTAGAATTTTAGATGAGTCTTTTAGAATTTCGGTAGAGCAGTATAATCTCTGCACGAGCTGCAATAGGGTAGATAGCGAGGCACTTCCTTCGAGTGCCGCAAGAGTGGAACTGTGTCGTCTCTGCCTTACGAGACGTCAATTAATTGAAGTGAAATAAAAGATGAAGGAGATCTGAGGATTTTGTACTCCGCGACATATTATGGTAGTCCCCTGGTTTCATACCTGAGTGTTCCAACTAAGTTGCAGATTCGTCCGAACGCGCAAGAAATATGTGACATGGAGCGTGAAATCTCCAGCGTCCACTATTCAACTGAAGCATGACAAGTGACTAGACTATGCACAGTGCTTAAGCTTCCGCGAGATTCTGTAGTCTAAGAGTACCGAATTCACACATGGCACAAATTCACCCGGTGAAAACAGAGCAAGTCTTTGGAATTCTGCGTGAGCTCTTGTGTTTCGTATGCTCGTAATGTGCATACTGTACTTGTTTAAACTCTAACACCAAAAAATTCACCAGGCAATATATCTTCCGGTTCTGTGTATTTCTCCCGTTAATGTTGTGAACTGTAAATTCATATATACTGCTTCATTAGCTTGCGAGTCCTTAAAGCTGAAGTTGCATGTAACACTTGTACATATGTCAAACTGATCAGAATCTTGCACCTTCTTCTAAAGAGTAAGGATATTTCTATTACTCTTTTGCAAGTCTGCTAGTAAACTGAAATACGTTTATGGCATGTACCATTTATATCGTTATATTAAAAATCCTGTTATTGAGATTTCAATAACAGTAATTAACGCAGTAAAAGAACTTTCTATTCCAGACGCATTGAGTAGAATGACTTGTATTATGTGTTAACTTTGTTTATGAATCATAAATACAAGTATCATAAATTATTATACTTGTATTTACAAAATATATCTACCTCTAGATTATAATTTACTGGTAAGGACCCAGACGAGTACTACGAACGAAAGATATGAGAGGAAGTTTTTAGAAGAGGTTTTTTGACAGTAGACAAGAATAACCATGACACTGTTTTTTGGCGAGTGCCTAGTGGAGCGTCAACGAGGTCGAGGGACGATATCTGAGGATATCTGAGCGTGAGACAATTTACTAGGATTGAGAAAATTGAGAAGCATGCGCATCTCAATGCAGATTCTCTCATGCATGCGAACGAGAGCTATGAGTCTTATCAATTAAATTTGAGGTACGGCAAGATGGCAATTTTCAGACCTTCAAGTAAAATTGTTCAGGCTAAGAAAGAGAGGAGAGAGATCCCTGGAGCGAACAAGAGCAGCAGCATTGATCGATCCACTCTTCTCTTTTTTATTATTAGATGAAGCTTTGTAGCTCTTAAAGTCTCAAATCTTGTTTCTGTCGTTAGTTGTTTGGTTGGCGCTGGGGCAAAAAACAGAGAAAACAAAAGAAAACAATCTAGACCGAGACAAAGCTCAACAAACATTAACAACTTTTGCTCTTTAAGAGACGTAAAATTGTAGAACGAGACTATGTAAGAAAAAGCTTTGTGTCACAATCTACTCACAATTTGTCAAATTTCTGGACCGGCCGATCCAAGAGTGGCTCGAATAGAGAGCCTTTACAAAGTCACTTCAAAGTAACTAGAATAAGATACTAAAGAACTAACCCAAAGTCTCACTCGACACACAGAAGAAAAGAATCTAGTCTCAAACGTTAATAGATTGGATGTTATCCAACCTATAAATGTTGTCGAAGTACGTACTAGCTCATCTTAAAAAAAAGCAAAAAACTTTGTTTGTTTGCGATGTTTCACTCTTGTTTGTTTATCTGAAAAGATTGTTCCATCTCCCTCCACGCTCTGCGGAAACAAACCGAGGTCCCAAGCATAAGATCTTTAATATGTTACTGCCTAGAACAAATCTCCAGGCCTGCACAAGATCCAGAGAAACTTAAGGCGACCTTGGTGTGAAATTGGATCTACCTCTGGCCTATTCTTGTCCTATACACTAAATATATATTTAGTCTATAGGACAGAATTGGACAGAGGTAGATCCAATATCCACTAAATATATAAAACTAACATCTTACACGATTCAGAGAATTGAATGAGAGATTTACTCTTCTTTTATAAAGACCGATTCAAAGAGAAAGAGATATGGCGAATATGTCCAGGAGAAAGAGCTTGGGGGAAACAAGCTAGTGCATGATTCCATGAACAGGCTTCACTTACTTCTCCGATGGGAAGTGTTCAGAACAAGTGATATCCTTAGTTTTAACATTGGATACCAACTTACGTAAGCAGAATTAATCTCTACAGAATGTCATCGGAATGTCTGAGAAGTGTCTTATAATCACATGATACAAAGATGGAATATATTTCCTTCAAGAGAATCAGGAGGCATGATGTTGCAGCAACCAGAATACATGGCACGGATCACGATGGAATTTACGCATGTAGTTGCCCAGTCTTTTGGCTGTAGAATCGATGACCATGTTTCAAAGCGGTATTCATATTATCTTAACCGAGTTTTCGCCAATTCATAAACTTCGAATAGAGACAAAGAAACTCTAAGAATTAAACCAATGAAGAACCCCCTGCGCTATCCGCCAGCTACGGATCAGGAGAGATGCACATGATTGACTTCTATGAATCTTTGAATCGTGCTGTGATGCGTCGATTTCTCGTGTAAGTTCCGGGGAACTTTTTGTCCAGTTTAAGCTCACAGTGAGCAGCTCAGTACGACGACACAATCGTCCCCATGTGCGGTGCTAGGTTCATCTATTCTAAAGGGAGATCACAATTCAGAGGCTTGGCCTGGAGAAGTGTAAATGAAAAATTCTCCAAGTCTATTCTACTATCTGCCTTCATCCTCTGGGCACTGCATCAGAGCTCAATATTGACGAAAAAGTAAAACTAGCTCCAAGCGTGTCAGTAGTTGGATCCTGTCTGGGTGCTGCAGTGCCTTGAGTGCAGTGCAGTGCCTTCGCAAAGTCGCAGTTTTGCCCTTCAAACTTCCCAATAAAAACCGGAAGAAACTAGTCATCCTCTCTTTTGCGCCATTCGAGCACAATCTTTAAGTCGGTCGGAAAATTGGCGTGAAGGTTTACAGATTTGCCACCAACGATTTACAGGAAAAAACTTGCCGACATCGTATACGTACGTACTCGCAGATCTGGCAATCTGGACCGCGCAGGTTTCACTCCTCAGCTTGCTGGTGGCTCTGGTGATCTCATGTGCCAATGGAACCTGCACCACTTCCTTCACAGCAGAGGATGCGCAATCCGTATTCATTCCCAGTGTTTTGGGCCAGGGGTTCATTCCTCCGGAGGGCCATGTGCCCATGGCTCAGCTGTTCGCAGTCGGTGATCAGCATTACACCGCGAATGGCACGGCTTGGATCCTGATGAACGCTACTGCTGAGCTCTTCAATTCGCGCTTCGAGAAAGTTGGCATCCACTTCTACGAGGCGCAAGTTGATTCCAAGGGCGGCCAGCCCTCCTGGATGACCCCGTGCCCTCGAAGCCTCGTCACCGGCAAGCGCGTCTTCACCGCGCAAGTTCAAAACAACAGCATCACATGGGCACTGCTGGAGGCTACCAATTCCCACGGATCCTCGTAAGTTTGATGTTGAGCTCGCTCACTGCCTCTGCATGCTTGCTTCTGGATTTCTACCGCTATGGGTATTCTTCCGTGCCAAAGAAAAGTACCTCCCACACTTGAGCAAACCTCAATTTGTAGACTTCGGATTACTGCCTTGATGTGAGTTGCATCTGCGATATGGAAATCGGACATGTTCTATCACTGGAGTTCCACTGAAGTTTACTCCGTAGCCTTTCAATGGATTTGGTCTGTCACTGGAGCTGCACTGATGGGGCATGAAGAGCTGACTTGCAAGTGTGGGATAATTGTTGTGGATGTACGTGAAGTGGCTTATTTGGCAGATGTGACCTACGTTCAAAGGCTGTTCACAGAACGGGCTACCTCCTCAATCTGCGCCCACAGAAATCAATGCTACCTTCAGCTCGTCCTACACATCTTTCTACGTGTACTACAAGCAGCTGTAGATACAAAGAGGCTGATGTGGAGAAGAGGCAGTTGGAGAAGGAGGGCCCTTCGCACAAGTCTCGATGACGACATTTCAAATGCTCCGTTGCTCTATGTAGGAAAAGCAGTCGGCCATGGATCGAGATGAAGGTGTCGATGGCTGGGTTGGTGATTGGCCGGGCCAATCAATTCAGAGCTCGGCGGGTCCTCAAGGAATAGATCACACATACAGAACGCCCTGCGAGAGACTTGGTAGAGTGTCATAGACGGCCATGGCCGTGACAGGCCTCGACGTCTAAGACTCGCGATCCATTTTTGTGGTCTATATATTCTCGGGACCTCTCGTCTTCGAATCGGATGAGTTTTATGAAATGGTGATCCTCTTCGAACGTATCTGATACCTGTACAGACTGATTCTTGTGAAAGAGGGGGCTCCCTCACAAGATCTATCGAGCTTCGGAGCCATCGTCATTCCCTCAAAACATTTGGAAGACATGTAGAGAATAAGAGTCGGGTCCACCCATTCGGGATGTACCCGGGAACGCACGGAGTTCCATTCCAAGGAGTCTTCGTGGTTTACTATGGATTCATGGATGCTGGAGTTTCCACACGTACGATCACCACCTAGATAGAACGAAGTCCCAGCATAAGTGGTGCCGGATGTTTGTTCAGATTCATGTCATAAATAAACTGAAGTGACTGAAATCAACACATTTGGTATCTGAAATCCGTTCTCAAGTTTGATTCACTGAGAAGGGAATATCCCTCGAGTCTGCCGAATTTGTGATTCGGGACCCGCTTGTCAAAGTTTATGTTCGAAGCTCCATCTAGCGAACAAAAGGAAAAAAAATGAAACACCAAATTGTTTTGGCATGAATCAAAAGAAACTATAATATGAATTAATATAAATACCACAGTGTCTTCAGTCTATAAGTTTGTCATTAAAATGCAAGATGAACCGGCGAAAGCTCCTGCGCAAAGACGGACAAGAATGTTGCTACAATGACTACTACATCAACAAAAAGTTTGAAACACTTCATCTCACTTTGATCTTAATTGTTTTATTGAACTATCATAGTTCCAAACGAAGATATCGATTATCGTAAATTGATAATCACGAGAAATGAAATATTTACAGCTGTTTTGTTTGATTCACGTGTACACACCCTACTTAATTGATTGTTTTCGTAAAGGAGGTCGGAAAATCGAAAGGTATCAACTCCACGCACCAAGCTGAAAGAGCTGATGCACAAATATTTATCAGTTACGAATTTCTGATGGATGACTGGAAGGACTTATTCACATGATCCACCAAATTGCAGGAAAGAAATATAGATTCTTAACTTCCAAGCTTACAACTTTTAACTTCAATGACTTCTTATGCTTCATAACGAATCTACGAGATGGTGTATTTTTGGAATGGTATAATATCAATACACTCTATATGAGTATACAAACTTGTCATTAAGAACTTCATAGTTCTACTAAAAAAAAATCTAGATGACATAAGGGGCAAACAATCCAAGAATATCATGTGTTTAGTTAAGTAGTTTACAAAAACATGTGGGATTATTGGAGTAAGGTTGAAACTTGATTTGCATGCAGGTGAGAAAAATGGCATTTTTTGTGATGAATAATATCTAAACACATAATTTGTCATTTTTAATCTTTTTCCCAATCGGTTGAGCTGCAATCTCAATCACAATTAATTATGTACAGAAATGTTAGTGAAGTTTATAGATAGATCACATACATTGATCAAACGTTTTTTAAAATAGTGTTCATCAATAAAATGTTATTCAACTTATCAATAGTATATTGATGTATAACATATCTGAGTTTTGATGCTTGAGAAATATAACTGCATCTTACTAAAAAACCCATGTTGCACATATTTATATCATGAATATGACTGCTTAATGAACAATTACAGTTTTCTTAAAGAATGAACCGACCATACAAATAATAGCTTATAGAAGGATGAAAAATGTCATGTTCCAAAAAAAAATTTGAATTTATGTGCTTATAGTTAGTAGCATATTTTTTCCTACCATATTTTACTTTCAACGATTGAAATTTTTTTCATTAATGAGATCAATCTCATCTTATTGTTTATATGACCATATTTTTAATCTGCATCAAAATTCATAAAGGAACATCATAATGAATAACAATATCATTAGCACAAAGTTCTCATCAAACACATATATTCAATTAGATGTCATAAAACTTTATTTTATAGTGATTGATTAGAATCCTAATTTTTTTCATCTTTATAAATATAATGTTAATATGTCACAAATTTAAGAAAAAAGTATATACGTCAAAACCAAGACAAAAGAAATGCATATGAATCACAAAACTCATAAAATACAATTTTTTTTAAAAAGTTTTTCGGAAAGCAGTCGTTAGTATACTCTCCTGTTATCACGAAGCTCTTGTGATGCCCCAACTTTCTCTCTTAAGGAAAGAAGATATTCTCTTAATACTTAATTAGTCTCTGACATCAGGATGTTTTTTTTCCCGCTGGAGAGAATCGATGGCTTCATCTGTCAGTTTCTACACCGTTACAGTAATTAGTGGGACTGTGCCTGTTTCATCTGAGAGATCAACGATTGCTAGTTGGAGCGCGATGAATCCTCTCTTCGTCTCCGCCATGTCAATTAGGGGCAGACTGGAGGTCTAAGCAGGCCAAGCATCTGCAGAGTTTCATTCACACAGTGAATTCAAGCTAGTCTGGAGTAAAGTTAAAGTATAATGTGGCTGGTACTCTATGTCTCTCTCTCAGAAGGATGCAGCTCTGGACAAGGATTTCATCCTGATCGTGTCCAGTGCCGATATCGGGCAGCCTGAAGCCATCGTGGAAACTCATCCAACACTCGGCAACAACCGAAGGGCGATCTTACTCTCTCTGGTCCCCAAGTACCACGTTCCACGGATCTTTCCTGACATTATCCTCATACCTCACAGAAGATTTAAGATACCGCATCTGCGAAATGTGTTGACAAGGTTCTTGAAGAGTCTTCCGGGAGGAATCAAATTCAACATTTGCTCCTACGACCATTCCCTGGGCTTCTTGTGGCCCGAGAGCAAGCCTAACAACAAGAAGCTGGATATTGCACTGAAGTATGTGCACACAATCAGTAGAGACGACTATTTTCTGAGAAGGACATTTCGTCCCTTGAATTACGCTCTGACGAGGAATTATAAACTTCTGCAGGTGGAGATCATATTCTTGTCGTTCGAGGAAAAGTTACGGAACCTCTTTTACATCTTCTGAGGAGAGAATGTGCTGGTGTTGATTTCAGAGTGTTCTCTCTCGGGATCGGGCGACGATGTATCACACGATCTGGTCGAGTACCTGGCCAGGGCTGGCGGAGGGTATGCGCAGTTTGTCGGAAGTAACGACGAGCTCGACGTGAAAGTGGAGCAGATGCTCAAGGTTACGCTCGGGCTACACGTCAGGGAGTAAAAATCTCGTTTTCTGCAGCTGGTTGCAAAGAGAGCTCTGCACCAGCTCCCGAAGGCTGATGAAGCCCCATTGCAGCCGAATGTCATGTCCCTGGCGAAGTTCAACTGTAAGATGTTAGTTTTATATATTTAGTGGATATTGGATCTACCTCTGTCCAATTCTGTCCTATAGACTAAATATATATTTTGTGTATAGGACAAGAATAGGCCAGAGGTAGATCCAATTTCACACCAAGGTCGCCTTAAGTTTCTCTGGATCTTGTGCAGGCCTGGAGATTTGGTCTAGGCAGTAACATATTAAAGATCTTATGCTTGGGACCTCGGTTTGTTTCTGCAGAGCGTGGAGGGAGATGGAACAATCTTTTCAGATAAACAAACGAAGAGTGAAACATCGCCTGGAGAAGAAATGAAAAGGTGGCTAAGGACAAGGAAAACTGGGACGAGGCGTTGTTCATGTTATGCGCGCTACATTAACACGACTGAGACCAAAGAAGATGTGAAGGTTATAGAAGTCTTATTTTTCCTTGTAACTGTGTGTGTGAGACAAGTACTTGCTTCCAGATCTTTGGAAGAATATAGATTTTTACGCCAAGGCATTCCTAGACTCAATCAGTTTAAACAAAAAATATTGGCCATTATATTTTTGCCCTTTGTCACTTGCATCTTTAGACAAAACGTGTATGTTCAGTAGACAAAAAGGGTCAAATTTGCTGTTGCGAATGAAACCGAAGTTTTTTGCTTTATTTTAGATGAGCTAGTACGTACTTACGAGAACATTTATAGGTTGGATAACATCCAGTCTATTAACGTTTGAAACTAGATTCTTTTCTTTTGTGTGTCGAGTGAGACTTTGGGTTAGTTCTTTAGTAGCTCATTCTAGTTACTTTGAAGTGACTTTGTAAAGGCTCTCTATTCGAGCCACTTTTGGATCGGCCGGTCCAGAAATTTGACAAATTGTGAGTAGATTGTGAAACAAAGCTTTTCTTACATAGTCTCGTTCTACAATTTTACGTCTCTTAAAGAGCAAAAGTTGTTATTGTTTGTTGAGCTTTGTCTCGGTCTAGATTGTTTTCTTTTGTTTTCTCTGTTTTTTGCCCTAGAGCCAACCAAACAACAAACGACAGAAACAAGATATGAGACTATAAGAGCTACAAAGCTTGATCTAATAATGAAGGCAATGAAAGTAAGGAAGAGAAAAGTCGATCGATCAACGCTGCTGCTCTTGTTGGTTGGTTCCAGGGATCTCTCTCCTCTCTTTCTCAGCCTCAACAATTTTACTTGAAGTTCTGAAAATTGCCGTCTTGCCGTACCTCAAATTTAATTGATAAGACTCATAGCTCTCGTTCGCATGCGCATCTCAATTTTCTCAATGCTAGTTATTTGTCTCACGATCAGATATCGTCCCTCGACCTCGTTGACGCTCCACTAGGCACTCGCCAAAAAATAGTGTCTGGTTTCTTCTTGTCTACTGTCAAAAAACCTTTTCTAAATACTTCCTCTCCTGTAATTCGTTCGTATTACTCGTCTGGGTCCTTACCAGTAAATTATAATCTAGAGGTTGTTTTATTTTGTAAATACAAGTATCATACACAAAGTTAACTATAATACAAGTGGTTCTACTCAATGCGTCTGGAATAGAAGGTTCTTTTACTGTTACTGAAAATTCAATAACAGGATCATTAATATAACGATATTAATGGTACATGCTATAAACGTATTTAGTTTACTAGGAAACTTGCAAAAGAGTAATAGAAATATCATTTACTCTTTAAAAGAAGGTGCAAGATTCTGATCAGTTTGACATGTGTACACGTGATACATGCAACTTCAGCTTTAAGGACTCGCAGGTTGATGAAGCAGTATGTATGAATTTACAGTTCAAAACATTAACGGGTGAAATACACAGAACCGGAAGATATATTGCCTGATGAACTTTATAGTAGCAGAGTTTAACCAAGTACAGTCTTCATGCCGCTCAAAAAAGTTCGTCCATTACTGCACATTACGAGCATACGATACAGAAGAGCTCACGCAGAAATCCAAAGACTCGCTCTGTCTTCAACAGGTTAATTTGCGCCATGTGCGAATTCGGTACTCTTGACTACAGATTCTCGCGGAAGTTCAAGCACTGTGCATAGTCTAGTCACTTGTCATCCTTCAGTTGAATAGTGGACGCTGGAGAT